GCACGTGCCCTACAGTGAAAATCTCTCCAAAAAAAAAAAAAATGAAAAAATGAAAAGACAGAGACAGAGAGACAGAGAGACACAGAGAAGGATACAGGGGCTCTACTAGGGTAAATTCTCAGCAGAACATCTTCATTGCTCTTAGCCCTGAAATCACTAGATCTCAGCGCTCAGAGTGGACCCTGATGTCTTTTTTAAAAAAATATTTTCATAGTTTTCATTATAGAGGTCTTTGACTTCTTTGGTTAGATTTATTCCTAGGTATCTTATACTTTTTGTGGTATAAGATAAACAGATCCCATATGGTAAATGGAAATACTTGTTAAGTTCTACCTAAATCTGCTTGCTTCTATATACAAATGCTATACATTTTTGCATGTTGATTTCGTATCCTACCACATAACTGTATTCCTTTATCACTTCCAGGAATTATTTCATGAATACCTTTGGATCTTCTTTGTATATAATCATGTCACCTGCAAATAGAGATAATTTCAGATCTTCTTTCTCTATTTGGATGCCTTTTATTTGATTCTCTTTTCTGATTGAATTGGCTGGGACTTCCAGCACTATATTGAGAAGGAGTAGAGAAATGGGCAGCCTTGGGACCAGCAGTTAGCATAATGGCTATGTTGCTGGACTCCCATGTAGTCGATTGTGGTTCCAGTTCCAGACTGGGTGGCTTAAAATCACTCCGGGCACGTGTGCGTGGGTGCCCAAGATCCTGAGAGAATGGAGGAGAAGGGATTGTGGCATGGCCATCCCCCCTGGGGGGTGATTTCTCGCTTTCTGTCTCTCTGTCTCTCTCTGTCTTTCTGGCGAGCACACGCACCCTAAAGCAAAAACCTCTCAAAAATAAATAAATAAAAAGAAAAGAAAAGAAAAAAAGAAGGAATAGGCAGCCTTGTCTTGTACATGTTTTTTAGTGGAGAAGTTTTCAGCTTTTCCCCATTCTGTATGATGTTAGTTATGAGTTTTTCACAGATGACTTTTATTGTGTTGAGAAATGTCCCTTCTATGCCAATTTTGCTAATAGTCTTAATTATGAAGGGATTTTGTATTTTATCAAACTTCTTTGCAGCATCGATTGATATGATCATATGATTTTTATCTTTCCTTCTGTTAAAATGGTGTATTACATTTATGGTTTTGAGTATGTTGAATAACCCTTGCATCTCTGGAATAAAATCTACCTGGTTGTAACATTTAATTTTTTTATATGTTGTTGGATATCATTTGCTAAAATCTCACTGAGAAGTTTTACATCAGAAATATAGCCATGTCCTTATCTGTTTTGAGGATGAGGGTAATGGGGGCTTCATAAAATGAATTTGGAAGGCACTTTCCTTTTGGTTCTTTAGAAACGGTTTGAGTAGATGGGGGTTAACTCTTCTTTAAATTTTTTTTTTCAGAGAAGTTTTTTACCATAGGGTGCATGTGCTTGCCAAAAAGACAGAGGCCGAAAGTGAGAAATTACTCCCCAGGAGGGATGGCCATGCAGCAATCCTTTCTCCTACATTCTCCTCTCTGGACTTGGGCGTGCACACACATGCACTCGTTTTGGGTTTAAGCCACCAGGTCTGGGACTCGTACCACGGTCAACTACATGGGAGTCCAGCAACACAGCCATGACACCAACTGCTGGTCCCTAAAATTTTTATAGAATTCAGAAGTGAAACCATCAGGACCTGGGCTTTTATTTGTTGGGAGGTTATTTATTACCGATTCAATCTCATTGCTTGAAATAAGTCTATTCAGGCAATCTGTCTTCTTGATTTAGCCTTGGTGGAATATATGTGTCCAGGGTTTTGTCCATCTCATCTAGGTTTTCTGGTTTGTTGGGAATTGTTGCTTATAGTATTCTTTAATGATGTTTTGTGTTTCTGTTATGTCTGTTGTAATATTGCCAGTTCCATTGCAAAATTGATTTATCTGGTTTCATTCTCTCTTCTTAATTAGTCTAGCCAGTGGTATGTCATTTTCTTTTTTATCTTTTCAAGGAATCAGCTTTTGGTTTCATTTATTTTCTGTATATTTTGTTTATTTTCTATTTCATTTATTTCTGCTCACCTCTTTATTATTTCTTTTCTCCTGGGATTTTTTTTTTTTTAATTTTTGATGTTGTTTTCCAATTCCCTGAGGCATGATGTTAGGTTGTCCTTTTGTCACCTTTC